GACATCTTCAGGAGTATTTATTTGGTCACTCTTATTAGATGTCTTTATATCACCAAATTTCCCTAGATTACTATGAATATTTGGAACTGAACTAGATTTTAGTGAACTAAGTTTGGCATTTGCATGGCAATTTCTTTGGATCTCTTCATCAGTGGTTACTGCTGAGCCATGAAAACTCTGGTCATTGACAGTTTTATGGCCGTCAGTGAAAGAAAATTTAAACAAAGGGAGCATGCTTCCTTTCTCTCTTACATCCTGCTGCTTTTCAGAATGACTAAGAACTTTGAAAATTGGAATATCTAATTTTCCACTAAAGGAAAAGGAATGCCCACCTTTCTTAGGGCCCCTTTCCCATCCATCTTCCTCCAACTGGTGAATTTTCATAGAGTCTGACAAAGTTTCCTTTGAATAGGTCTCAGGGGAAGTGAGCAAAAACTGGCTAAAGGATTTTCTGAGTGGCTCAAGGAAATCATCATCACCAGTAATTTTGTCCCCCTCTAATGGTTTTGAAGATGGCTCTTTATTTGCAGTTCTGCTGTCAGCTTCACAATGATGTCCTAAAGTATCTTTGGCACATATTTTTCGTTGATCTGGTAACAGAGACAGATCTGTACAGGGTTCTCTTTCCAATGGACTCGCAACATCATCTTTCTCATTTGCAGAATGAGCTAAGTTAGAATGTTCAATGGCTGCTTGGGAAGACAACAAATCCTCACTTAGGGGCATTTGATAGTGAGGAGTTTCTCTATCACTCCTATCCAAAGTGACAATGTTACTGTCATTGCCAAGGGTATCTTCCCTTTGATTTGACTCCGAACCACACGCAACAAAGTTTTCCTTTCTCGTTGGCTTGCTCCGGTCATCATCTTTTTTGGTTTCATCCTTTTCCAAAAAGATTTTTAATGGATTTAGCATGCTGCAAAAAGACTTTATAACTGAACTCTGACTCTGTGAAGCAGAGTCCCTTCCAATAGTTTCTGTTGGATCCTGAAAGTTTAAACTTCCAGTTTTACTGTCCATGTGCTCATTTTCAGAGGTTTTGTCATGTTTGCCAACGTCCTTATTGTCAACTGTTTGAGAAGATAATGGAGATGGAGATTGTATGGAAAGACCCTTCTCTGATATTGACTTGGCTCTGGGTCTAGATGGCGAATTAATCGCCTCTGTCTGATTAAGAGTTTCTGTTTTCTCTGGAACTAAATAAACCAGCTTTTCCACAGAGGTTGTTAGATGCTTTGTGCCTGAACCCACCTTTTCTGTGAGTGAACTGAATAAAGAACCAACAGCACATTTTACTCCATTCAGCTCAGGGAAAGAGATGGCTTTGTCCTTGTCATTCTTGGCAATGTTTAAAGATGGTATTTGATCCCCTGGCATTTTCTGTTCTGCATTATTAACAGTACTATTGTGTTTAAGTGTTTCTTTAGTTTTTGAAAGGGAGCCAAATCTATTAATCTCCTCTTCCTTCTCTGCTAAATATTCTGACACTGTTTCTACCAAACACTGAAGCTCATCCATTGTATCAATATAGTCCTCCTTGGGTTCCTCAATAGAGGAAGGGGTCATCTCTTCCATGGGGCACCCAGACAGATTTCCAAGTGTGTCTGTAGCACAATTCATCCTTTGTGATGCGAATGCAGGATTTGCTCTATAATATTCTTCTGGAAAACCTCCAATATGATGGACATTGGATGGATGACATGTTGGTGACAGTAAATCTTCCTGCTTATCAGAAACGGGGGAACCCAGAAGTTCATCAGAAGTACTGCTGGCAGAATCTTCAAGAATATCTAATGGAGTGAAATTAGTGACATGCTGGATTAAGCCAGATGCCTTTTCACAGTCCTTAGAACAACCAGGAAGATCATAATCATGACTTTCCAAGTTAGTGGTCCATATGCCACTCTTAACCACAAATCCATTTTTGTAGGGACGCAAAACTGGGTAATTTTGTTCCTTCTTCTCAACGTGGCAAAGGTTACAATTTTCAGTGTTAGGATATGTACTTTTGAAGTTAGTCTTAGTTCCTGATTTATCATCATATTGGCTTTTTTCACTGTCTTCAAAATGACTATATAAGGGTGTCTTTTTCCTTCTCCTATCTATTGTATCATATTTCTGAGGATATCTAGAGAAAGTAGATGTTTCAAACTTAAGGTCATAATTAAAGGCAGTAGAGAATTCTGTCTCTTGGCTTTGAGATGGTATCTTTTTCCAATTCTTATACTTTGGTTGTATTTGTTGGCTGTAATATTTATCAGTTTTTGAAAGAGTTCTCACTTCTTTTACCCCTTCGTCCTTTAAGTTTATGTTACTGTTTTCTAGAGCTTCTTGTGACATCTTCCCCTCTATCTCCTCATATATACCTTCTTGCTCTTCACAGTCAACATCAGAGAAATATGAAATAATCCTAATTTTGTCATTTTGAACCTGTAAGCCTTGTCTGATGTAAAGAGATAAAAATGGAAGAATAGTAAGGCAAGAAAAAAAGGAAAAACAGGGAAAAGGAAGAAAAATTATAAGATTTAGTACATATTCAATGAGAAAACTAAAATTAATAAAATTATCAATTTGATAAAACCATTCAGACTGAAAAGACAAGATAAGGAAATCCACATGTTCTTAAATCAGTATTATAGCAATGTAGTCAAAAAGTTTTTCCACATTAGAAAAAGAATACCTAAAACAACTTTAAAATACTTCACTTGCTACCATTAACTATTTAGGATCCTTTTGTTTTCTAAGAAAGAAAGAAACAAACAAAATGAACATATTCCATCAATATTTAGAATATATTTACAATGCCAAAGTTTAGAACTGTTAAATAATCCATAAAAATATATCAAGGAATTTCAAGAAATCTAAATTTGTTGATGAATTTGGATCTGAAAAGCCGCCAAGCTGTTAACTTGCTGAAGGTTGTATTTTAGGCAGTACAGCCAAGAATATAGTCAAACATACTACTTTTAAAAATATATATATGTATAAAAGATAATAAAAATAATCTTTGACTACCATAAGTCAAACCCTGTTATAGTACCACAAAGAGAAAATTATTTAAAGCATCATAATTTGTCGTTTGTGAAATCTAAAGGCTATATGTATTGAGGATCACAGTGAAATGAAAACCTTTCCCTATACTGATTACAGAATCAGAAGCTACACGCCCAACTTAAGTCAGTGAATACAGAAGACAGCCAACCTTACTTTCACTGAAGTTAGAGACTGCCTATTTCCTGGGTACTGAGGTGGGGGTGGAGAGAAGGCCTGCAGACTCAGAGCTTGTCAGCTCAATGTGTTCTTTTATAGATCTAACAGCCATTAGCATTTATTTAGGAAACAGAAACAACATCAAAGTGGTCACTTAGTCACTAAAAATCGTCAAGAGTGAGAAACAGAATACTAACACAATCTCAGGTATCATCCCAGAGACCCTTAATTACAAAAAGAAAGGTAACTTTACATTGGAGAAATCTAGTATGTATGCCAGATTAACCAAGAGATCAAACTAAACGTCAACAATAATGAGACAAGGTAAAATGTGACTGCTGAGGCATTGTGAAGGAAACATCTATGCAGTGTTTTTTGCCAAAAATGTTTAACCTGATTCTAAACATGAAAAAACAATCAGATCAAACCAAATTAAGAGGCATTCTCAAAACTGGTTGGGACTCTTCAAAAAATGTTAGTGCCTCAAAAGACAAAAAGAAAAAAAAAAAAGTATGGGAATTTTGTTAGGTTATAGGAGACTACAGAAACAGGGAAATTACATGTAATGTACCATAATCCTTAATTGGATCCTGCATCAAAAAGGAAAAAATATATATAAAGAACATTATTGGGACAACTGGAAAATTTTAAATATGGTCTATATGTTAAATAATATCATTGTATTGTCAAATTTCTTGAGTGTGATCATAATATTAAGGTTATGTAAGAGAAAGTCCTCTTTCTTAGGAGTTACATGCTGAAGTACCTCCTGGTAAAGTAACATGGTATCTGCAACTTACTTTCAAATGGTTCAGAAAAAAAAAATGTATGTGTGGGACTTCCCTGGAGGTCCAGTGGTTAGGACTCTGTGCTTTCACTGCTGAGGGCCCAGGTTCAAGCCCTGGTTGGGGAACTAAGATCCCACAAGCTATGTGATGCAGCCAAAAAAAGAAAATGTGTGTGTATATAAACATATATTAGAGAGAATGAGATAAAGTAAATGTAACAGAATGTTAATACAACTGGCAAATCTAGGCAACATGAATATGTGTGTTCATTGTACTGTTTCTCTAAATTTTAAGTCTGATTTTTTTTAAAGTTGGGTGAAGAGTAGGGAGCATATATGTATGTATTTGCTTTTATACTAATAAATATATGATGATGGTCTACGGAAGGGTAATAAGAAACAAGGGTGGTAAGAGAACTAGGAGACAGGAAGGTGATGTAGTAGAAGAGGACAACAGGTGTGGGTGGAAAATTCTTTGCTGTATAGTACGTAGCACACCTTAATATATTTTTACATGTAAATGTTTTATGTATTTAAGAAATTAATAAAAAGGTTTTCTTTTTTTAAGTCCAGCAAAAGTACTGAATCTGCTATAGTGAGATCATATTGGTTTTCTTCTGAAGTTCCCAGGGAAATATTTAGGTAGGAAGAATTATCCAAGCATGTAACATCTGTGATTTTCTTTTTTTAATCTTGGTGAAAGGTGTATCAAAATCACTGGCTGGGCAGAGAGATGAGCAGGTTTTTTTCAGCCATCCACCCCAAGTGGGCCTGCCCTCACCTGATGATCATAAAGAAAGTTCTAACTGATGGATATGCATAAATGTGAACATATGGAAGAGGAAAAAAAAAGACAGAATCTACATAAAATGGCTGCAGGTTGATCCACCATACTGCTGTATTTCCTCTGTCACCTCAGGTTAAGGTACCCAAATCCTTGATGTCAGTTGCATCCTGGGACCTGCATACTAGGAAGAGAAAGTGCTTTGTTCCCAATACCCACCTGAGGGCCCGCCGCTCTGGATAATCGAGGTCATAACTTTGCACAGAGTCATTGCAAGAGTCCCGGGAACTGCCCTGAAGCAGCAGCTGCTGTGGCAATCGCGCAGGCACAGGGAATTGGTGCACAGAAGCATTGGGCTGGGAAGTCGTATGGTAAAGAGGTGGGATGCTATTGCTGGCCTCACTGCGATAGTCACTATCTCGGTCATCAACGGCACTATCAGGATCTTCAAAAGCTGTGGAATAAGCAGAGTCAGTCAAAGCACCCCAGCTTTACTTAGTTCTTCAGAATTTTTTTCTGCTTCTAACTGTTGTAGCCACAAGCCTGGACCTTGAGAACAAGAGCAAACTGAGCTGCACATGAGCCCAGTGACCTCAAGTCATGCAAAAAACTGTCTCAATATCCACAAGTCTCTCTCCTTATCGAATGAGATAAGACATTTGGTTTAATTTTAGTGCTGATTCTTAGAGGAGTTCCAAGTTGCATTTTCCCAATGCAGAATTCTCTGGAATTCTGCTTCTCTAAGCTATCATAACCCTAGTAAAAATCTGCTTTTAAATGTCTTAAATAGATTCTGCCCCTGTACTATTACCAAAATGGGGCAAAAGGGGGAGAAACAGTTTTTCCATCTCTTAGAAAAGAGAAATTTTTGTTTAAAGTTAGCATGGTGTTTTCAGACTCTAAAAACACATGGTTGAATCAAATAAGCAGGTCCACCATTGGAAGCTGGTCCAAGAAATCAGGAAGGTCAAAGCCAAGACTTAGAAGTCAAGTTAAAAGTTCTAGATGCAGCTGAGAACAGCAGCAGTCTTACTGTCTTGCTGCAACATTGGGTTTTTCTAATAATTTCTGTCGAGCACCCACACTCTGGGCTCAGAATTCCCATCCCAAGCCTGGGCTGAAGAAGAGGAAAACATGTGCACTGTCAATGGGGTCTTACTGACAATGCAGCCTAGTTTATCTAACAGCAGTGACTACAATTTCATAGAATTATTTCTGCTTTTCAGGCCAGCACCTGACTAGCTACAGTTTTTTCTTGATGTTAGCTAAAATGACCACAGTTACAAATCCTGCTCCAAGCAAAAGTAAAAATATGCAATACTGTGCTTGGAAAAGGAATTCAACCTAATAGTGTGCTGTAGTTTATTTTATATAGAAGTCATTTCTGATACCATATCCATATGTGTATAATTAATAAGGTCCCATATGTTCTTTCTTGCCAAGTTTCTATTAGGCTCACAATAAGGAAAAGGAACATTCACCATCCAAAATGGAGATACTTTTAGCAGATGATGGACTCCTCATATTAGGAATTTTAAAAAAATCTTGGTAGCAATGTGGACAGTGGAAGCCTCCTAATGACCATAAATTAGGCTTTTACAAGTAGGAGATAAGAACATATACTGATACAGTGGAAACAGAAAAGAGTTAATGAACTAGAGAAAAAAATCCAGACAGAAATAATACAACCTGGGGACAAACGGAAGGTAATAGGGAAATGACCCCTTGGCTTCTACATCAGACAACTTGGTAGATAATCCCACTAAAAGAGACAGGGAACACACAACATGTGGGTTCCAGACAACACTTGGGGTTACAGCTGGGAGTAGGGGTAAGAAGATCTTACAAGCTTTTCCCACTTGAGTTTAAGGCAACATGTGAACATGAGAAAAGAAGAGAATGATCAGAACTCCAGGGGAAAAAATCAGTATGAGAAAGAGGCTAAGCTTCAAATGGTCAGGAACAATACCAATCAAACATAGGGGATGCAAAGCATTCTGATTACAAAGCACTCTGATCACACATTAGGAAAGAGAGACTTTGGAGGTACTGATTTTAGACCTTGATGCATTTGCTGTTCTGAAGACTAGAAAGGATCAAGGGACAAAAACCAGTATGCCATTCAGACTTAATTCTTTCTGAACTCATGGAAGGAGTAAGTGTGAAGAAGTCAGCGCTGGATTATTCATGCATACAGATGAGGGGGCAGAGGCAACAAAAGAGACAAAGCCAAAAGTCTATTTAAACACTGGTAGGAGAATATGCTATTAGTTTATAATCTAGAGAACCAAGATTTAGTCTCCAAAGAAGCAGCAGTGATAGACAATCCTACTGCTTATGAGTCCAGAAGAGGGTAGCTCAGCCAGAGGTTAGGAGCCCAGGATCCAGAGCCAGAAACTACCTGGATAGACCCTTAGTTTCTCACTGCATCTGACCTACTACTCCTTAATAATGCTCTGCTTTATTCTGTTAAGCTAAGGGGAGGAATATTCCAAAAATTCCTAAAGGCTGACACATTTCCACACTGAAGGAATAAAGGGCAAATACTAAGAAATAAAGTGTCAGGACTTCCCTGGTGGTGCAGTGGTTGAGAATACGCCTGCTAATGCAGCGGACATGGGTTTGAGCTCTGGTCCGGGAAGATCCCACATGCCTCGGAGCAACTAAGCCCGTGCACCACAACTACTGAGCCTGCGGTCTAGAGCCTGTGAGCCACAACTACTGAGCCTGTGTGCCACAACTGCTGAAGCCTGCACACCTAGAGCCCGTGCTCCACAACAAGAGAAGCCACCGCAATGAGGGGCCTGCGCACTGCAGCGAAGAAGCCCCCGCTTGCTGCAACTAGAGAAAGCCCACGTGCAGCAACGAAGACCCAACGCAGCCAAAAATAAATAAATAAAAATAAATAAATTTATTTTTAAAAAAAGAAACAAAGTGCCTGTGGAAAGAAGAGGCCAGCAGTAGAAGAAAAGAGAGTATGAAAAGTAGGAGGGGACAGGAAAAAGGAAATACGAGGAAGTGAGGTGAGACAAAGGACAGGAGCAGAAAAAGGGTAGGTCAAGGGCAACAGCCAGCTTTTCTCCCCCTATACCATCCCTAGTTTCCTCATAAAGTAAATCTCCTAGCACCACCAAAGTTGATTAGAAACTAAAGAGGCAAATTAAGGAAAAGCCTTGAATGAAAGAATTGTACTTTCAGTGTAGAAGCGACAGTCTGTTACTGGCTCTACACTCTACCCCACAGTAGTATTTCACCTAGAACAGAAAACTTCTGGCTTCACTGAGAAAGACAGACTGAGTACAGGTTTGGTTACTCAGCTTAAGGCGGACTTGTGAGCTAGTTTGAGGGCAAAATTTGAAAAGTCCCTTGAAATTAAAAGGCTGGGAAAATTTACTCATTCAAATATTTATTGAGTACCTATCAGTGAAGGCTAAACAACACAGAAGACTCAGCATATAGAGTCAGTCTAATAGCAGAGAGAAAATATGGATACAAATACAAGGATGTATCTATCATGAGAATAGTACTAACCAAGTGCTGTATGAGTTGACGGTCAGGTCATTTCCTGTTAGGGTGAACAAGGAAATCATTATGGAAGATATGACTCTGAAAGACTGGAGGGTTTTCAATAGGTGAAGATGGGGGGCGGGGGAATACCTTCTGGAATCTGGACAAAAGCAATGGCATGAGTAAAGGCCTGATGGTGGAAAGGCTATATATATTTTGGCAAAACATTTTGTAGCTCATTTAGCAGGTACATGAAAGGACATGGAAGGGAATGAGAAAAAATAAACCTGGAAGAGTAGGATCGGGAAAGTAATTTAATCTGGGGCAAACATGGGCCCCAGGCAGAAAGCAGGCACTCAAACAAAACAGAATGAAATACTGAACAACAAGGCTCTCTAGTATGTGGTGCTCCTGGATTAAGTCCCCATCTTTAAATCCAGAATACAGGGAGAATTTTCAGAGAAGGAAACAGAATTCAAACCTTTTTTTTCTTTTTTCATGGCTTACTTTTTTCTATTTGAAAACCTTAAGTTATCTGAGCTCTCTTAGGCTGCCTTTGAGTAGTTTCCTGGTGCAAATACCCAGGATTCAGATGACAGAAAGTACAGCCCCATAAGAAATTCTAGTGACAGGACAAAATTTGGCCTCTCTTAGTATCTATTGGATATCTAATCATTGGGACTCAGTCAACCCACCCACCTCCCCTGTCAGATAGGTAACACAGACAGTAATGTCAGCCTAGGGCTGTGAATCTTGTTGGAAAGAACTAGATGCCCACTCTCTAAGCTCAAAGTTGAACAAAGTTGGGCTTCAGCCTAGCTGGCCTGCTCCAAGGAAAGTCAAACCACGTCCTCAGCCTCTTGTTCACACCACAAAACCAATGACCCCTCCTAGGATGAACCTTCTCCTTCTAGTCACTGCACTCCTTAGCTAAGAGACCAAAGGAGAGAGTTTCCTCCAAAAGGTAGCTGACGGTACTACTTGGCTCTGGGGAAGAAAAATCAGGAGATCCTGTCAGGATTATAACTGAAACTTTGGTTTGAAATGAAATTTCTCTCGCTCTCTCTCACACACACAAACACACACACCACACACACACACACACACACACACACACACACACACACACACACAC